TTTCTATCTTACTGCGGTTTTGTTCAAGGAAATTATTTCACTGGTCACAAATATTATATCAAAGATTGTATCATTGAAACTTCGTTAAGAGAAATTGTCTAGATACTATGCTTAAGTTGAATAAGTCATTTCGTCCCATTACTTCTTTTTAGGTTACAGACTATTGCGGTAAGATCCCCTTCATCGCTCCCTCCCTCCTTTCCCCGTTTGTCTAACGTAAGACCTCAATGAGATGATTAATTCTTTTGCTGCAACTAAGCTTACATTAATTAGTTTTGAAATACCACATCCTGAGCTTTGTGATCAGCGTCAGATAGCAATTTCTACACGACTTCTTAATTCTGGCTCCCTACTCCTTGTAGTGAGGCCCCAGAACTGGTATGATTTTTGTGAAAAGCGCGGTAAATAACCCTCATGTACAAGGTTTTAGGAAAACCAAATATGGAAGTGTTAGGGTCCGGATACCGCGATAGTGCTTCCAGAGTGCGGCTTTTCTTCCGCTATTTAAGATAATTTATGAAAATGATTTGAAGTTATTGGGTATTGTATAGCGTAAACAAGTGTGTAATCCATTCTGTCTAACATCTCCTAACTTAAAATATTGAAAAGCCTTTAAATGACAAACTTCTAATCAAACTTCTGCTATAAGTTCAGATTTCAACTTGAATTAAAGTTTACCTCGTTTCATTTCTCGTATGATGATAGCCATCAATTTATTCCATCCAATAGTATCCATGGAGCCCCGTTGAATAGCTGCTCTCGTTGACTCCATTGTGACCTGAAAAGAAGCATACGTAGAAGGTTTCTTCTGAGAGAAGAGAAATGGTGCTACCTCTGCATAGTTGTAATCTTTTGTAGGCGTAAGGCTAAACATAGACGGCTTCTTCTGCAAGGAGATCACTTGCTCAATAGTAACTTTCTTGAAAACCAGCCAGTTATCAGCGCCAAAGTTTACTCCTCTGCAAAGAAAGCAATTAAATTTTTAAATGTAGAAAGAAATTGCTGTAAACCTACTTGTAATAGTGAATTTGTCCTATTCTATAAGCCATATGATGAATTGTGCTGTCTGGGGAGACGCCAAGCGATGCAACAATTGTGTCGAGAAAATTTTGGATACGACGAGCCTAAATTTGCGATTATGGTCAACATCCTCCTCTTAGTTTCTCCCAAATTCTCCAAATTAATTTCCTCTGCAAACTCTTCTTAAGTTTACTTCATTAAATTAAGCTTAAATCATCACACCTTAGTTGCTTATAAAAACATGTGAGATTTATAAACATCTATGGGAGCCTATAAATGAGTGTGTAATTTGACACTTATTCCTATTTGTCAGCCTCTAGACTACATAAGATTGCAAAATTGTCAATTCTCGTTACCACCACCAACCATTCAGGATCGTAGCAGGACTGTAGGCTACATGAGCCACACGGATGGCTCATCTCAACGATCTTATTTGACATCTGTGGGACACTACGACTAGCCCTAGCGATAAAACCTTTAGATTTGCACGACGCATAGTTTTTTTTTTTACTTTAAAGTTGATACAAGTATAATAATCGCTGTCTGCACTTAGAATCTTTTAAAAAACTCAAAACACTCGACATATTAAGTGCCACTACAAAACACCTCCCACTTCAAAAAAATACAAATCTAGGCTATTGTTGAAGGGTTGAAATTCTAACATGTACAATAACAGCTTATAAAATCGGCTTTACAAAAAGAGAAAAAATTATAACTTGCACTTCTTCTTGAAATCCCCAAGATCTTTTAGAAAATCGGCAAAGGACTCTCACATGAATGAGATGCCTATGGTAATGAGATGTTTTAGGAATTATTAAAACTTTGTCCTTTAGTTGAGATCCTTAATAAATTTCACACGCATCCGTTTTAAATGA